GGTGATGATGGTGGTCGAAGAATCGAAACTTTTTTAGAGGAAACGAAATGGTGGTGGTGGTTGCAGCAAGCAGAGATATAGTTACAAAGGTGGAAACAAACGATGAGCCATGTTCTTGTTGTTCTTGTGGTTTTATTTACTGTGAAATATTGCCCCAAGTCGTTGTTTGTGTTTTGGAACTCCACTCAGTTCTTCCTCTCACCACTTCGGCTCCGTCTTGGAGTCGAAGCAGATGCTGACATTCCACTTCCCCGGCTGTTCCGAGGTTACCGATATCGCATCCCGAAACAGCGGTCAGGGACTGAAGCACACTGTCTCTTCCGCATTCCCTCCGATACTCCAGAGTCATGCTTTTCAGCTTCTGTCTCTCCATTATTCCCACTGGAGCACTCTCGAGTATCCACCCGATGTACTTCACATTGTTAACATGCTGGTTAACATCTAGGTCACTCCACCGCGGCTGAAAAAATATGTTCCATTACCGAAAGAAATTATAAGAATCTCAAGAGTTTTAACATTGTTTGTTGAAACATATACAGCAAATGATATATACTTACAGTGAGACCAGATCGAACATAGTCAGCAGTCTTGTCGTCTAGTTTTGTTAACTTTCTGCTGTCCTCGTCAAGGACAGGAGCCGAATTCACAAAATAAGGCTCTATTTCCGCTCGAACCTCTTCAGGAATCTTTGATAATCTCCTTGTCAGTTTATTCATCATCACCCACACACTGCACAAGAATAGTTTGCAATACAAAGATGATTATCACTCTATCATCAAATATAATAGAAACAGAGAGCAAGGACCAATAAATGGTTACATGCAGAAAATGATAATAGTGGTTGTAAACCAAAAAAGAAAATCTAACCTTGACGCTCGTGTTAAGGTTTCTCCAGTATTGCAATCCCGAACTAGCCAATCGCGACGCATGCCATTCTTTCCAGACTGACTGACCCAGGTATCTACTTCAACAACATCTCCCCTATGAGGTAGATATTGAATAAGCAAATGAATTATGCACTATAATATATGGATGCACAGCATTTAATCCAGGGTGCAAAAAGTCACTAGTCAAATGAGCATATTTGTGCTAAAATAAAAGAAATAACAACTGAGCATACAATGGTATTTTATTATTTAATGGAAACATGCAAGATACACATCATTTTACCAAACCTGGTAAAAAAAAAGTGATAGCTTGAGCCTGCATATTCAGGTTTTATGCAAGAGAATCTGGATAACTAAAAAAAAAAGCAAGTAATTCTTGGCGATGATTAAGTTACGTGCTAAGAAGACCAACAATAGCTTACCAAGTAGGATATTTATCAACCACAACCTGCATACGAGTAACGACCCATATCAGATTCCTCTTAAACATCTCAGGGGTAGAACCAAACCCATTTTCCAGCAGTCCAGCAGTCTTAACATGATTGAGGGCCGTTTCCTGTCATGAGCACAAGAGCTAAATCACGCATCTCGACGAGACAATTGACAACATGTGACAGTAATCATAAACAAGTCGTACCTGTAAATGATTCATGACTGTTTCTATAGATGCTGAGCGATCCGCACCTATTTCATAAGACCTAATGGAGAAATTCTGACGGAACACAAGGCCATCCTGAACAATTCTCCCTAAACCAAACGGATCCATTAACACGTCAGAACGCCTAGGTTTCCAATCAAGCATCATCCACTGTTTCTCAGCTGCTAAGAAAATCGTTGTTATGGCAGCAAGAAGCATGCTCCAGTCAGGTAACTGGTTGATGAATGTTCTAGGCGCGGGTTGCGAAGTCTCGGTATCAGTCTTCATGATCTCTACTGAACCAGGCAAACCAACTTTTTTCCCATTAATCTTGGGTGGAGCCTGAGCGTTTGGCTTAACCTTCATTCTACCATTGTTTGGTGTCGAATTGAGTCCAGTGAAATTCGTTGACGTAACCTTGTTGCCCTTTCCATTAGGATCAAGCGAGGAAGACGGTGCAGGAAAGAACGACGACGTAGCAGAGGTGGCCACCATGACGAGAAGATGAGCGTTCAAAAGACACTAACACCAAAAAGAAAAGCTAATTCAGTGAGTGCTATATTTTTAAATGCTACAACTTTAACAATTAGCAGAAGTAGATAAGATCTCTGGTAAATCAACAAAGTTGCACAAGGAAAAAGGGCTTCCATAAATCTTTATTAAAGGGAAAAACAAAAACAAAAAACAAATTTCTCTGT